CAGGGCACCCTGTTTGACTTTTGCCTGATACTTCAAATTAATTGTCTTCTGCCTCAGGGATGAATCATTTCTCATGCCTGCACTCACCCTTGCCCTAAATGCATCCCATCCTCCTTTTTGCTGTGCTCTCTTGTCCAAGTAGCCCTCCTCTTCCCTTGCCATGCCCCTTGGTTGTACCCATTCCTCCTTACAGTCCCTGATTATCTCTGCAGGACCCTGAGGTTAACTCCCTGCTGTACTGGTCCAATTCTTCCTTAGCCAAAATTAATGGCTTTATATCTCCATATCTTCAACCACTTTAACAGCCATTCCGGTCCCTCCCCAAGTCTGGGTCTTTAGTAACTTCACATACCACCACCATCTCATCCCATCCCCCAAGAATTCTTTCCTGATTAACGGGTCCATGTTGCCTATATGTCCCACATGAGGAAGCAATGAGAAACAGTTCCCATCACCCTACTTTTTTCTCACTATAAAAACCAGAAGACAGGAATATCACACCTGATGGGAGTGAGGCCATTGGTGGGAAACCACAGAAGAAGAACAAAGCCATGTCCATCTACACCACCTGGCCTGAGAAATGTGACCACACTCTCTCCACCACCAAATTTCTCAAGACATGGCTCCTTCTTTCCCCTTTATCTTTTGTTCCACCATTGCTTTCTGCTGAGTCCACTCTCTGAACTCAGCCTGCTCCCATGCATTTGAATAAAGAGCTATGGTTCCTTATACAGTGCCTTCTCAGGTGGTCTCTGTCCCCTCTGTGCCTTTAACATGGGTTTAAACTCATCTTTGTTCATATGGATATTCATTTAGAAAAATCACCATTTCTCTCCAAATTGCCTTGGGATCTTTTCAAAGTCCATGGCACATGAATGCAAGCATTAATTTCTGGCCTCTCAGTGGTGTTTCTGGGTTTATATGTCTACCTTAATGTGAGTATCACACCATCTTCATTAATATATCTTTGTAGTAAGATTTAAATTCGCTCACAGTAATTTTCCAGCTTTGCTATTTTTGAAAATGTCTGTTGTCAGTTGAAATCTTTGCTTCTCTCTCTATATATATATATTTGGAAAAAAACCTGCTTAATTTCTTTTTTTATTTGTTTATTTATTTACTTTTCTATTTTAAAAAATAAAAGAAGGAAAACATATTAACAGACATTCATTTACAAAATAGCATAAGAACAATACAAACAAAACAGAGTTACAGACAAAGTTGTAGGAAATTAACAATGGTTGTATTACTTATTGATATCTTCAAAGTGGTTTTTCAGGAAAACAAATAGAGACATACAAGATTGATCAAACAAGTAATCATTAACTGTTTCTTTCTGTAGAGCAATAGAAGACAGTAGTACAACTATGTTAGCTATCCTATATATATATACTTACATAATTTCCCCTTCTTTCCCTTCTCTTTTCCCACACCCTAGCTGCCCTTTACTTTTGAGCATTTTCCTTTCATTTCACAATGTCTATCATACCTCTTAGTTTTTATTCACTCTTTCAGGTCTTACACTAGTGAGACAATGCAATGCTTATATGTGCAGGTCTGATTTATTTCACTTATGAGTATGGTCTCTAGTTGTGACCATTTACCTATAAAAGCCTCGAGTTTATCTTTTTTTATAGCTGAGTAATATTCCATTATATAAAAGTACTACAATTTTTTTATCCAATCCTCAGTGGATGGACATTTGGTTTGCTTCCACAATTTAACAATTACAAATTGCACTGCTATAAACATGGGTGTATATATATTGCTGTGATATGATGTTTTCAGGTCTTCTACCCAGTAGGGGAATAGCTGGGTTGAATGGGACCTCTAGACCTACTTTGCTGAGGAATCTCCATACTGATTTCTGCAGTGGCTTCACCAGTCTGCATTCCCACCAGCTGTGGAGAAGAGTTCCTATTTCTCCACAGCCTCGCCAGCATTTGTTATTGGTTCATTTATTAATGCTAGCCATTCTTACTGGGGTGAGATGAAATCTCAATGTTTTAATTTGCACTTCTCAAATGACTAATGATGTTGAACATTTTCTCATGTATTTATTTGCCATTTGTGTTTCTTTATCTGAGAAGTGTGTGCCCATCTCAGATGCCCATTTTTGGATTAGGTCTTTGAATTTGGGGGGCTGATGTTTTATAATTCTTTATATGTTCTAGGTAGAAGACCTTTGTCCAAGGGACAGTCAGGTAAAATTTTTTCCCAATTTATGGGTTTTCTTTTTCCTCTGCTGGTGATTTCTTTAGATGTGCAGAAACTTTTCAGTAGGATGAGATCCCAGTTGTTGATTCTTTGAAGTATTTCACGGGCAGTTTGGTTTTTGTTCATGAACTCTCTGCCTACCCTTATGTCTTCAAGGTTAATTTCTTTAAAAAAATCAAATAAAGACCCCATTTTGATTTGATAGAGATTACATTTAATGTACGAATGAGTCCACCTAGAAAGAGTCAGTTCTGGTTTCAGGTCAACTGTTGTTTGTTACTTGAAACTATCTCTGGTAGATTAAAATGTAAATTCAGTCGTTTATTTCTCCTGTCTTAGTTGTTGCAGAATGATAAATCTTCTTTTACCTACTATCATACTATATTGTATGTGTAAGAGGAAGTCATAATAGGTAGCTTCTTTTGAAGTTTTGAAGATTGAACCCAGAACATTCACCATCTGAGGCAAGGATTCTCCTACTGAACTACATTGCAGATCTCAACAATAACTTCTATGAGCAAGGAATATTGAAGTTATTGTTGAGAGCTAGAATGTAGTTCGGTAGTAGAGTCCTTTTAAACTAGGAGGTATGATAGACATTGTGAAATGATAGGAAAATACTCAAGGGTAAAGGGCAATTGGGATGTGGGAAAAGAGAAGGGAAAGAAGGAGAATACCTTCTTCCTTAGCCAAAATTAATGGCTTTTGTATGTATGTATATACAGAATAGTTAACATAATTGTTCTACTCTCTTCTATTTCTTTGCTGAAAGAAACTGTCAATGAGTCCTTGGCTGATCAATATTGCAGGTCTCTATCTGTTTTTATAAGAAATTACTTTGAAGATATTAATATGTAATACAACAAGCATTGTTAATTTCCTACCACTTTGTAACTCTGTATTGTCTGTACTGTTCTTTTGGTGTTTTGTAAATGTTGTCTGTCTGTTAATGTTTTCTTCCTTCTATTTTTAAAATAAAACAAAAAAACAATAGTTTCTAGCCAGGTGTAGTGATTCGTGCCTGTAATCCCAGCACTTGGGAGGCTGAGGCAGGAGGATCCTTGAAAGTTTGAGATCAGCCTGGGCTACAAAGTGAGCTCAAGGCCAGCCTGAACTGCATAGTGAAACCCTGTCTGAAAAAGACAAAAAAAGGAAAGAAAAACAATAACTTCTAAGTATAAGTTACACAAGATCAAATGAATAATTAATACTCATTCTATCCTATACTCTATAGGATAATTTGGAAACGCATCCTACAGTTATTGTTCATAGTTCCCTTAAAGATCACCCAAAGAGGATGTAACTTTCCTCTTTTATTAATGATAATAAAAAAGCAGAGAGAAGTTGTAAAACCAAATCCAAGATCAAAGCTGCATCAGTGAAGAGGAGTTCTTTCCTTTGGCCATCTGACTCCAAGCTCCTCTCATAAATAGTTACAGTGTAAAAACTGGGAAGAAATAAAATTCAATAATAGTTACAGTGTAAAAACTGGGAAGAAATAAAATTCATAACTTGAGGCTGATGTTAACATTTATTAATTCTGTAAACTTAAATCAAAATGAATTAGGGAAAATAAAACTGAGTATTTACATATGGAGGAGGCTTGAGTTTACCATGGAAAATATATGTAGTTCAAGTGCCAAAGGAATACTAAGAAATTGTTGATTATTTTAATTAAATATATTTAATTAAAATATATAATAATGGTGTTCACAATTACTTCATTTGGTGATCAATTTGTATTGCTAACAAAAGCATTCTACAGAATTTTTCTTCTGTTTAAGTACTCTACATTGGGTGATGACCACAAATGCAGACCCTAGGAAAGATCCTAGGGTCATGAAATGAATTAAGTTTGTGAAATGAGGTACCATAATAACTAATATTAATGATAATTAATATGGAAATATTTTCTAGAATTAAGAGAATGAGTCTACCAGAGATCTAAAAGTGAGAGATTACATTTGAAAAGTAATAATGGGCTGAAATGTCCTAAGAGGGAAAAGGGCTATTTAATGTACCTGAAATACATTTTCCATTTTGGAAATTACAGAACAATAATTCCTCTTATCTGTGAGAGATGTATGACTGTGTATGTTTGTGTGTATGTGTGTTTGCATGATTTTATGCATTGACACATGTGATTAAATCTTTTAAATAATAAAGTTATAGATAGGTGTTAGTTATTAGTTGTCAGGTTTTCAGGTGTTTGGCATTCTTGTTTCTTCAACACAAACTTTCATGCTTTGAAAGAGAAAATTTTGGATTTATTTCCACATGAATCTTGCATCAGAAAGATGAATGTATAGTGTTTATGCTACTAAACAAAATCAATGTTCATTAAGTGATGTAGACACTCACTATATGGCTCATGTTTTGGTATCTACAACTTTTCTAAGAGGCAATTTCAGTAGACAAAAGCAAGTTATAGAGAGGTGAAACAAGGAACATTTTTCTTAAGAAAGAGAAGGTGTCCCAATTTGCATTCTAGAAAATGAGAATGCAGCTTTCACTCTAATGTCAGTTATGGTATATGCCAACCCATGGCAAGCTCTATGAATAAGAGTCAATTTGAGCCATTTGGAAAAACAGCTGTTTTCCATAAAGTAGCACTGAATTCATCCACTAGCATTCTATGCTGCTTACTTCCTTGATAGTGGTAACAGAAGAAACAAGAACCTAACTACCCACCCTCAAGTCAAGAGTACACAGAACTCAAAGGCAAGTTGCAAAGCAAGCACAGTGATATTAAGGACTGTCTTTGCTTTCCTACTTGTCCAGATATGACAGGTGTACTACAGAACATTTTGACTGTCATTATAATGGCAGACTTTGTTGCTGGAAATTTTTCCAGTGTCTTAGTGTTGGTGAACTTCACTGACCAGATCAAGAGAAAAAGAATCTATTCAGCTGATGGAATTTTCACTGCTCTGGCTGTCTCCTGGATTCTTTTTATTTGAGTAATTTTCATAAGCTCGTTTTTAACTTTGCTTAATGCAGATATACGTAGTATTCCAATTATTATTAGTAGTCAAAGAATTATTCTTATTGTCCAGATGAAAGCCCACCATTTTAGCTCTTGGTGTGCCACTAGCCTCAGCATATGTTATTTACTCAAATAGCCAACTTTGTTTTTTTCCAACTAAAGAGGAGAGTTAATAGTTTAATTGTATTGATATTGTTGGGAACTTTGGTGCTATTGCTTTCAAATCTTGTGATGATACCTGTTACCAAGACAATGAAGATGAAAGAATGTGAAGGAAATATGACTTGGAAGACAAAACTCAGTGATGCTGAAGACCTTTTCGTGTGACTGTATTCACTCTAGTGAAATCCATCTGCTTTATTACACTCCTTATGTTTTCTGCTGTTACTCTACTCCCTGTGCAAGCAACTAAGGAAGATGCAGCTCCATGGCAAAAGATCCCAGGATTCCCGCACCAAAATCCATGCAAAGGTTGTACAAAGTGTGGTCTCCTTTCTTTTGTTATTTGTCGTATATTCCATATCTCCAATATTAACAAGCTGGAGTCTTCTTTGATTCCAAAATAAACCAGTTTACTTGCTTTTCTAGACCACTCAAATATTATATCTCTTGGGCCATTGATTTATCCCGATTTGGGGGAATAAGAAGCTGAAAGAGAACTTTCTTTTGGTTGTGTTGGAGGTGAGGTGCTGACTGAAACAACAGAAACCTTCCAGTTGGTTTTATCAATAACAGGGACACGGGGTGACTTTCAGCAGAAACCAAAGGGATGGAATGTATAACATATAGTGTGTCTTTTCACTTTTTGCATAGTGTACTTGACTAATTTCCAAAGATATTTTTAGAAAGTCTGTTAGCTATACTTATTAAAGATTACATATGCTTTAGTTTTAGAATATCTATTCACAATACATGAGAAACATTGTCAGGAGCATATCTTTAATCACATTTTTCACACAAACCACTTACTTGTACAAAATGTGGTACTAATTCATCAGAATTGTGAAACCCACTACATTCCACATGTTATTCAGTGATGGTGAACCTTTTAGAGCTTTCAATGATACAAACATTCCACTGCAGATTGTGTGTCATAGGTTAGCCGGCCCTGCTCTATGTTATCCTTCACTTAATTAATTTATGTTCTATATTTATGCCTTATAATTATTACATTATATAGTAAGAAACTCATTGCTATTTTCCATTGTTCTTTGTTTGATACGCAAACACACACTAAAATGTTAATTGAATCACCAACTCTTTTGGATGTCAGTATCATTCAATTTTTTTACAATTCAGGATTCCTTTATTAAAAGTAGCAAAATTTCCCATACTACAAATTATTACTACATTTAGTGGTATTTGTATGTACTTAACTCCACAGTATTCTTCATTTTTTATATTATGTATGTATATATTTTTCTTTTCTCTTCCTTATTCTCTCCTTTCCCCCATCCCAGTTTTTCTTGACTTAATTTTACTAAAATATGTTTCCAGTATTTCTTGAAATATGGAGACCTGTTTTGAACCAGAGACCTCATTTTATATGTGTCATTTTTTCCCTAAACCACATCTGGACTCTGAATTGCTTGTCATGTCCTTTATTTTTCATTTTTAAAATAGATTTGAAACTTAGCATTTGAAGATTTTGTTTACTTTTTGCAAAAATTTGCTCACTGTAAAAATAGCATACAAATCATCACATGTAATTTAAAAACTTTTCTTCAGTCACTAAAATGGCATCCATTAAATACTTATATGCCTCATAGGGAATTTCTTGAAGGTCATGTTTAGTGTAATCTTATGCAAAATGTGGAAATGAATGCCTATTGACAATCATTAATGACAAATTTCATTTTAAGAGTACAATGCATAAGTTTGTACAATACCTGAATTCTGCATAAAGAAATTATGGCATTGTAAAATTTGAAATTATAAAATTATATGGTTATTATACAAAAATTAACATAAATCACCTCCAAAGATCTATATATTGATAGATTTATTTCTGTGAGTGTTTATTATACCTTTCTCCCCAGTACGTTAGAAGCACCATGAAGCTGAGATTGCATGTGTCTTATTTAATGTTTATTCCAGAATTTAGTATCTGAAATATGGAATACTTGTTAAAAGTGATATTTTATTGAGTAAAGAAATAGATACATGAATAAATGGTCTATATGAGGGTTGGTAAATCACCAATAATAAATCCATCACAGAATCTGCAGGTTGCATGGATTTCCTGGTTTGGCTTATTGTAGAGGTTGCAATCTGTTCAAATAGAAGCATCTCTGACAGTAAAAGACTGGCTATTTCATTGTTCTACAGAGAATTGCCTCAATGCTGCTATACAAGGAATTAGAAGCCCAGACAATTTGGAACACCAAAACGAGATAGCACTTATGATAATGTAGATAAAAATACAAAATACTTTGGTAAATTTACATGTATTTTAATTGGGAATAAGGAATGATTGTGATATTTTCTAGTGCCCATATTTCACACAAGTTTAGCAAACCCTATGAAACAACCTATGTTGAAGATGAACATGAAGTAACATCGTAAGACACTCTATAGGTACAAGTAATAACTAACACTTATGAACACTGACATGCACAAATTGCCTGAAGACAGATTCAAAAAGAAATAACTACCTCCCCACAAAAATACCATACAGAATTGTTCTTTATGGTGTTATTTATACTGGAGTCAATTGTTGGATGCTGCTTGATAAAAGGAGGAGTACAACAAACTCTTATTTTTTAACCCAGAGGTCTCCACCTTTGTCCTGCTGTGTTGTGTAGGCAGGGAGTTGAGCTCTGCCCCTTTGTGGTTGAGGGTGGTAGTGGAGTAGGTCTGCCAATAGCAAGGCTGGTTCCTTCCTTTTACCTTAAGGTCTCCTGTACCTGGGAAGACATGGGCTAGGAACTCTGCACTGGCCATGAATCTATCACTGGCATGGTCTGAGGGTAGGTCTAGAGAGTAGAGCGATGCTTTATGAGTTTCTAAACTGCTCTTTTGGGGGAGTAGTTGGCCAGTGTTAGTGCACTGTTGTATTTATTTACTCTGAATGTTTCTCAGCAGATGGGAGAGGCTTAAGGTATACACAGTATTAGAGGACATGGGTGTCTCTTTCTCTAGTCCTTGCGAGAGCGCTCAGCCTCAGATACCTTCCCTCCAAAAGTCCCCTCAAGGCTGAATTTATCAGCTACTTCTCTGTTCGAACCACTATCATGTTGCTCTGTTGTTCTGCCCCACCAGAATTCTCCCCAACCGGGGCTAAGTCCTTGACATAGTAGAGACTGATATCTTCGCCCTTATCCCATGATTTTAGCTTTATCATGTCACAGTCACCTGTTTTCCCAAACGTAGATATTAAGTTGGGTGTCCACTTCCTCCCAGTAGCACAGTGGCAGTTACTGCCTGGAGTTACAGAAAATGAACCGATTTTTTGTGCCTAAGGAGAAGAAGTTACTCAACAGTGCATCCCACCCCACTTCTTCCCTTGTCCTTCTCCTGCTTTTTCTACAAAGATAAAAGTGGGGGGCTGTGACCCTGTCTACTTGTGGTGTTTTGGATGAATGAATAGTCCAGAGCAACATGAGTCCAACCTGCCTATCACCTCTGAAGATGTTTGCTATTATTTTTTCAAAGCTATTTATAATGCACTTTTCTTGCTATTCTAAACAACATGTACTTGTTAAGACACAGTATGTGACACCTCTATTTCTAGTATGTTTCAATTGCATCACTGTCTCCTATCAATCTAATCAAAGGACTTAACATGTTTTGAAATCTCTGTGCACTAATCACCATTTCTAATACATGCCATGCAGGTCATTTGGTTGAATAAACAGCTTTATTCAAGAACTTATGAAAAGCAAAGTATAATATCTTTGAGTGTGCAGTACATTTCATGTAGAATCTTTAAAAAGTCTTGTTTTCAACAAAAATTGCACTGTAAACAACTTATTTGAAATCAATGGTTATGTTTTCAGCATATTGAACATTTCATTTCCTAATTATCACTCTCCCTTCTTAATTAAATATCTCTCTTTTTATTAATGTGCACAGGCTTGTATACCAAACACCTTAGCCTGAGGATTTAAGCACAGAAATATATTTCCTCAGTATTCTAGAGGTGGAAATCCAAGGCCCAGTCTCAGACAGGATTGGATTCTGGGGAGGTCTCTCTTGCTTTTGTATAAGAAGCCATCTTCTGACAATCTTGATCCTCTGTGAGTTCCTATGACTTCCTCTGTACCTACAGACCTCTGGAGTCTCTCCTCCTGAGGACACAATGTTTACTGCCCTAGTGCCTCCACCTAGAACTTCTTTTAACATTAAAAACATCCATAAATGCTCTGTCTCCAAATATAGCCTCTTTTGGGGCTAAGGCTTCATTCTTTGGCTTTTGAGCCAAATGATTCAGTCTTTAATAGTCTTTTTAAGTAGGTCCATGAGCAGGAATTGAAATTCCTGCAGTATTGAGGTAGTATGTATAGGACATTGCCTCAGACTTTTTATATATTAAATGATATTCATTAATTAAATGCCAGAGGACAAACTTTGGTCCGTAGACCAATCATACCTATTATACCTCCATTCCTCACACTTTCAAAATATAAATCTATCACTTTATACTATATGTGCTTTTAAAAAAGATTTTTCATATTACCAGATTGGATTTTTCCTATTTTAAAGATTTCCTGTTATTACTCTGTGGATACTTTCTGAATTTCACTTTGTCTCTGACGGTTTCAAATTTCTCATATTAATATATCAGTGTGATTACTTCCAGGTGATTTCATTCAACAAAGACACACAGCTTGGCAATGGGATCCTATTTTATGTAAACTATCAACATATCAATATTTTAATTGAGAAAAGGGAAATATACACTTATCTTCATGACTAACAGTGCACATTAGGTACTTTTTTGGATAAGTTTTATAACAAGAGAGAAGAAAAATATTGTCTCTGGAAGTTAATGTGAAAGAATTAATATGAAGACAAAGTCAGAGCAATGCTTACTGGTGAAACACTAGCAAACTGTCTGATACAAGTGAGAGGCCAATATCATCACAATTAATTAACATTTTGAATATTCAAGCATTTCAGTATGTTGCCAGCAGAAGAGAATTATATCCAAGGTGAAGTAAAATAATCATTATAAATAGCTAAATGCAGATGATATTGTTACAGGGATGATATTAGAACTCCTGAATATGATATAAAAGAATATTATAACTCCCAACCTGTTAGATGTCTGAATATGCTGAGTTTCTGTTCTCTAAAAATTGAAGAATGAATTCTAGAAACAGTGGAGGTTAAGAATAGGAAAATATTTATTGAGAGTGAGAGAGAGATATAGCTCCTGAGAGGCTGCTGAAACTCACATGTTACAGGGGAAATTTCACAGAGCAATACATGGGTATGACATGAGTTACAGCTATGATTAACTAGTAAAGGTACAAGCATATTTGCTTAGGTTCTCGTGATCCAGTGGTGAAACGAGTCACATAATAAGGGTATATTGAAAGAACAAAGACTTTTTCTAGGAAATGATGGGTCCGCAGGGTTTGGTCACCTACTGTGGTGACTGACGTTTATCAAGGTTTCATTAGGCCTAGTGTTTGTCCTTTGAGGAATTGTACATACCTGGTCATTTTGTCTTTACATCTTGAGACCAGGTCTCCAGCAGATGTGTCTCTGGTCACAGTTGAGATGTGTTTCACCTTTGTCCTGGCTCTCTTGAGGGCCCAGCCCCATCTAACTACCTATAATTTTTCTGCCTAGTTTACCTGCCTATAAGAAAATCAGTTTTTACCTGCAACAGGCAAGAGAGTGTTATCTTACTAATAGCATAAGACATCTTGCTCTCCATTCAGTATAAAGTTAAATGAAAATAATTACTGTATATTTTGTGTTCACTTTGGCCGTTGTGTATATTGTTGCAAATATTATAGAATAATTCAAAATGTTTAAGCATAAATGTCAAAATTCAAAAATTCTTTTCCATTTTTTAACCTAGGCTTTTGGTGTAGCTATAAGCACTCTCTTCCTAATGATATTTGTTGTGAATTTAGGGCAGAGCCTCTGTCTGCAGGGTGCTATTTATTACTAAAGCTTCCTGCTGACAGCTACATACACTGCTCGGTAAGTATTTAACACTGTGGAGCCTCAGTCTTTTCACGTTGAAAATATTACACGTATGAGAGTACTAAAAGAGCTGAGATATACAGTTGACCTGCCAACAAACGTTACAACATCCTCTTTTAGTGACTATATAAAAAATGACCACATTTTATTTTACACAGAAAATTTTTCTCAATGAAATGTTCCAAAAAAATCCTTCAGAGAAGATGTTCAAATGTTTTCAACAAAAGTGTGGTAATGAACTACATTAGAAGAAAATCTACTCCCAACTCAATCCTAACAGTTTGAAGGGTTTCTTTGTGCAATTAAACCCCAATAAAGAAATTTTCACTCATAACAATTTAGAGGATTCTATTTTGTTGAAGATTTAACTTCACTAACCACAGGGCACAGGCCCTTGTTTCCTTGTCTTTATCATACCTATAAACCAAACTCATTCAAAATTTTTCACCTATTTCACAATTTCATGCAATTTATATTTACCTTCCTTTTAGGCCATACAATCAGTACTGCTAATATATAAACACAACAATCTTTACCTTAACTATATGTTGGCCATTCATAAGTTATTCTAATTTCCTGTTCCTATGACACCTTGCTTGTTTCCACCCAGGGAATGTACAGCTTAATGATGAGAGAAAGTATAAAAAAAATTTATTTCCAGTTTATGTTCAATCAAAAGACTATCATAACCACATATTAGTATTCTTTTTAGAATTAATTATATTTATTGGTACTATATATTTAAATTATATATTA